TTCTGCCACATGTTGCTGTGGCCCAGTCTGGTGTTCTGGAAAATAAAGTAATTAGAAAGTGTTGGTTTGATAATATATGTAATTTCTTTATACTTGTGGATAAACAATATTTCTTGCTGTTTCTTTGTCAGTGTTGATGTGGAGATTGTCTGATTTGCCCACTCTGGAACATGATTGTCCTTCTTTAGGGGTCCCTTTAAATCTATGATACTATATATGTGTGTGTGTGAATCATATATATATATCTATATCTATGGCTGGATGACTCTTTGTCAGAAGGGCTTTGATTACGTTTTCTTGCCCTAGTGAAGGGAGTTGGACTGGATAGCCTTAAGTGCTTTCTGTTGGTCAAGGGGGTTCTGTGTGGAAAGTTTGGCTCAATTGTGTCATTGGTGGGGTTCAGAATGCTCTTTGAATATAGGAGAACTATAAATCCCAGTAACTACAATTCCCAAATGTCAAAGTCTATGTCCCCCAAACTCCACCACTGTTCTCATCTGGGCATATTGAGTATTTGTGCCAAGTTTGGTCCAGAACCATCATTGTTTGAGTCTACAGTGCTTTCTGGATGTAGGTAAACTACAACTCCCAAACTCAAGGTCAATGCCCATCAATGCCCATGTTGGTCACGGGAGTCCTGTGTGTCACATTTGGTTCACTTCCATCACTGGTGGAGTTCAGAATGCTCTTTAATTGTAGGTGAACTATAAATCCCAGCAACTACAACTCTCAAATGACAAAATCAATTATTTTTTAGTGATGGTCACTCCTTGGGTTAGTAGGTGTCTTGTGTCCAAATTTGGTGTCAATTCGTCCAGTGGTTTTTCAGTTCTGTTAATCCCACAAACGAACATTACATTTTTATTTATATAGATAGAGTTGGAAGAGACCACATGGATCATCTATTCCAACCCCCTGCCATGCTGGAAAAGCACAATCAAAGTAGACATTGTTCAGGTGGGAAAACTTCGTAGAGCACAATGATGAACTTCAGATTCAGAATTCTCCCTTATTCTGAGCAAATTTTCTATGCTCTGTACATAGGTTAAGAGTTTTAAGATCATGCACAACCAAACATCCATGATGCAAAAGGAGGCGGAATGAGACAAAAGAACGTTAAGTAGTGGCAAAAAAAGGCCAATGGGATTTTGGCCTGTATCAATAGGAGCATAGTGTCTAGATCTAGGGAAGTCATGCTCCCCCTCTATTCTGCCTTGGTTAGACCACACCTGGAATATTGTGTCCAATTCTGGGCACCACAATTCAAGAGACATATAGACAAGCTGGAATGTGTCCAGAGGAGGACGACTAAAATGATCAGGGGTCTGGAGAACAAGCCCTATGAGGAGTGGCTTAAAGAGTTGAGCATGTTTAGCCTGAAGAAGAGAAGGCTGAGGGGAGACATGATTGCCATGTATAAATATGTGAGAGGAAGTCACAGGGAGGAGGGAGCAAGCTTGTTTTCTTCTGCCCTGGAGACCTGGACGCGGAACAGTAGCTTCAAACTACAAGAGAGGAGATTCCATCTGAACATTAGGAAGAACTTCCTGACTGTGAGAGCTGTTCAGCAGTGGAACTCTCTGCCCTGGAGTGTGGTGGATGCTCCTTCTTTGGAGGCTTTTAAACAGAGGCTGGATGGCCATCTGTCGGGGGTGCTTTGAATGCAATTTTCCTGCTTCTTGGCAGGGGGTTGGACTGGATGGCCCATGAGGTCTCTTCCAACTCTATGATTCTGGAAATGATTTTAGAAGGGAGAGGAACTGTTTGTGTTAAATTTTTTGAAGTTGTTTTGAGATTTGAATTGTCTTGTGAACTGCTCCAAAACTTGACTGTCTTGAAGATTTGCTTAACCAGTATTAAGGATAAGCAAATGAATCAAATAAAAGGTAGAAACCTGGGCAAAGAAAGCTGTTGCAAATTCTTATGGAGTGTGCTTGGAAAGCTCGGCTGCTTTTGCTTCTGCTCTCCTTCCATCAGTCCGCCAAGGGCAAAGAAGAAGAGTAACATCCGCTGTCTGCTCTTAAGCTGTGCCCCAGGAGGATAGAAATTGGCTGGTGGTAAGCTCTTGGTCTGCAGTAAGAAGGAAGTGGTCCTTTTAGATAGCTATTAATAGACTACATTTGAGCAGCAGATCCATTATGCCTTGTCTCTTTTTTCCTACCATACCTTCAAGCCATTTGGAATAGACCCAGTGTTGTGTGGAGAAGAAATTCAAGCCATTTGATCTTGTTGTGGTGTCCTCCCCCCTTTCTGCTTTGAACAACCAGAGCAGCTCCTTCTTTACAAACATAAAAGGCTGTTCCTTGTAGCATTAAAGCCAACCAGTCTCCCTGTTCTCACACTGTAGGTCTGTCTACTCCTACCAGATACCCTTCAGATATTTGAGACAGCAGCTCTCATTTCGGATTGATGGGAAGTGTAGTCTAGAAAATCCAGAAAAAACATCTTTGGTAGGAGGAGGCTGCTCTGGGTGAAAGTGGGAGAGTGAATTTGCAATGGAACAGGATGCAATGCAGTGGATGGGTTGTTGGTTCTGAGGGTTACATTTTATATATTGATCCAAGTAACTAAGTTGTGTTTTTGACTTCAGTTCTCTGCTGTGAAATGGGATGAGCAGTAGTCTACCTGGTATGATTGCTGATTTAGATAACTTGAAGAATTTATTTTCTCACTAGCCATTCCCTGCCACGCGTTGCTGTGGCCCAGTCTGTTGATCTGGAAAATAAAGTAATGAGAAAATGTTGGTTTCCAATATATGCAATTTCTTTATGTTTCTGGGTAAACAGTATTTCTTGCTGTTTCTTTGTCAATGTAGATGTGGAGAGTGTCTGGTTTCCCCACCCTGGAACATGTAACATATTATTGCCCTTCTTTAGGGGTCCCTCTCCAATCTATGATACTATATCTGTGTGTGTGAATCATATCTATCGATATCTATGGCTGGATAGCTCTTTGTTGGGAGGGCTTTGATTACGTTTTCTTGTCCTGGTGAAGGGAGTTGCACTGGATGGCCCCATGATTTTTCTGTTGGTCATGGGGGTTCTGTGTGGGAAGTTTGCCCCAATTCTGTCATTGGTGGGGTTCAGAATGCTCTTTGGTGGTAGGTGTACTATAAATCCCCAAACTACAACTCCCAAATGTCAAGGTCTATTTTCCCCAAACTCCACCAGTGTTCACATTTGGGCATATGAGTATCTTGTGCCAAGTTTGGTCCAGATCCATCATTGTTTGAGTCCACAGTGCTCTCTGGATGTAGGTGAACTACAACTCCCAAACTCAAGACCAATGCCCACCAAACCCTTCTAGTGTTTTCTGTTGGTCATAGGAGTCCTGTGTGCCACGTTTGGCTCAATTCCATCATTGGTGGAGTTCAGAATGCTCTTTGATTGTAGGTGAACTATAAATCCCAGCAACTACAACTCCCAAATGACAAAATCAATTTTTTTGAGTGAAGGACATACATTGGGTTGGTAGGTGCCTTGTGTCCAAATTTGGTGTCAATTTGTCCAGTGGTTTTTGAGTTCTGTTAATCCCACAAACGAACATTACATTTTTATTTATATAGATTTCAGGGGTAACTAAGCAGAAGAACAAATCACTCAAAGTGGATGTAGCCAATGCTGCTTCTTGCAAATCCCTCTAAAAGTGCTTTGGTCTTCATTTCTGCCACCCAGCACTAACTTAGTTACCTACCTATCTACATTCTCTCTCATACATATACCACTTGCTTAGCATCTTTTGCCAATTCACTGGTAAGACAGTGCCTTGCCCAGGCTGCAGTTCTGGAGATGCTGATTGTCGTGAACCAGAAGCCTTAAAGGAGCCAAACACAAGTAAAAGGTCCAAACAAGGTTTATTAAAGTAACAAAAATAGCTTAGAAACACTTAACTCAGTGTATCTAGCAAGAAAACAAAGTCTGTAGCAAACTGCTATGCAAAAAACGCAACTTGGAGAATAATCCGGATTATACAGGAATATAATCTGGGATAACAAAAACTTTAAGCAAACTGCTTCAAAATCACAGAGTTCAATAAACACAATGTAGCAAGGTGGGAGCAAGCAAAAACGTAGTCAGGAAACAGTCCAAAGTCGAGGCACGTCCAAAAGCAGAAGTTAAGTCCAAAATGCGATGTCGTTGTCCCAAAAACAATCCGAAGTCATCAAGGAAGTAGAAGTCAGCACTTACAGGATTCCAGTCAGTAGAAGCATGAAAGCACTCTGCAGTCCCAGGACCCAAGGCAAGAGTAATGGCAGCAACAAAGTCCCAAGCCCAATACAACACTTTGCCTACTGCAAAGTTCCAATAGTTTGATACCTTACTTTTATCCTATAACTCCTCATCAGAGGAGGAGCTGGACTCCACCCTGTCTTCATCACTCTCAGCTGCTTTAGCTTCCACAGCTGCTCACCACCGCTCGTCCCTCCAACTTTTCCAGCGTCTATCAAGACTTAGATCACCCCATGTATTTCCAGGTTGCCAGTCTCCCGAAAACCCTTCAAACTCATCACTTGATGTGGGTTGAGTATATATGTCCCTGATCTCTTGTACACGGGTCCAATCTAGCCCATCCTCCTCTCCGTCATCACTCCCAGTCCCATCACTCCCTGTGAACCCCATGAAGTCTTCTTCCTCAGTTGGAGCATTAAGTATTTCACGGATCCGCTTCCTTTCCCTTTCTTCATCTGACTCTTGCTCCCGAGTAACCCATTTCAAGCCTGTACTCCCATCTCACTCCTCCTCCATCTCAGAGTCTGTGAAACCTTCGAATGACTCAGTATCTGTAGGTGTCATGAATATCTCCCTAATTATCTTCCTTTGCTGCTCTTGTTCCAGCACCTGAGCAGCCCTCTTTCCCCTTCTACTACTAGTAGTAGCTTGATCAGCACACTGTACTACAACACTGATGCAGTGAATAAAACTCTGCAAGGCAGCCACAGTGGGAACTATCATTTTCATGTGATTATGTAGAAAAAAATAATTTTCTTTTTTGTCTTCCAGCTGCACAAAAGGCCCGGGAGCAATTTGAAGAGGTTGAGAAGTCCCTGAAAGAAATGGAGGACTCAATCAGGTAAAATACACCCCCCTAAAATGTGTTGCATTTTGATAGAAAAGGATTGGTGGCAGCCTCTGCATCATTACCTATTTTTGTATGCTTTTGACCCACATTAACCCGCTTTCCAGCCATTCTCAGTAAATGATGTCTGGGTATGCTGGGGGAACAGCCAGCAAGCTGCCCCCCAACAACACATGTCTTCAATCTCATCAGATCAGTATGGTAGACCTACTTTCAGATAGTAGTAGTAGTAGTAGTAATAATAATAATAATAATAATAACAACAACAACAACAACAACAATAATAATAATAAACAACTTTGCTACTGTAAACCGATTTGATTTGCCCGAGGGCTGAGAAAAGTGGTACATAAATCGAGTAAATAAATAAACAAACAAACTTTATTTCTTACCCACCCTATCTCCCCCAGAGGACTCAGTATAGTTAAACCAGTAATTCCTTGATGCGCTTCAGTCTGCTTGAAAAGGATCTGTTATATCTTGTATAAGCCTTGAACATAGTTGCTGTGAGACTGAGGTTCAGAGTGATGGGACATGACAGGGAAGATTGAAATGGCTTTTTGGAATATTGTATCTGTGACCAGAGGTAAACTTAGATTTTGAGCCAGCCTTTATACAAGAAATATTCAAGACCCAGGTTACATGGCTGAGGGTTGAAACCTCCCTTCTGGATAGATCCCTTGGACCTGGTCCCAGCAAGGGATTGAAAACAGCTTTTCTTTACCACCATTCAAAAGTTATTTATTAATTATTATTTATTTATTTACAGCTTTTATATTCTGCCCTTCTCACCCCGCAGGGGACTCAGGGCGGATTACAGTGTACACATATATGGCAAACATTCAATGCCAGTTTTTGACATACAAACATATACAGACATACACAGAGGCTATTTAACTTTTTCTGGCCACCAGGGGAGCTGTTGCTTTCATCGTTCATCTGCGGGCAATTGCTGGTTGGAGAATCTCTCGATACTTTTTCTTTTAAGCAAAAAACAATAAATGATTAAACATAGGGCTATTTATCCTTTTCTCCAGGAACAAAGTAAAACAGGATCCTCGGGTTCATCTCCTGAACTGTTGTTCTCAAACATGCTTTTCTATAATAATAATGATAATAATAATAATAATAATAATAATAACAACAACAACAACAACAACAACAACAATAATAATTTGAAACACAACAAGATGAGTCCACAGCAGACACTCTGCTGGCTGTTTTTGGATCACACGTTGGACACTTCCCAAGTGTCTAGGACTGTGTGATGTATTGGCGAATAATGCTTGCAGATCCCAGTAAGGTGGCCTTCTGCAGCTGGCAGATTGCAGCTGGCGGATGGTAATTGTGTTTAAGTGCAGGCCAAGGTCTTTAGACACTGCACCCAGTGTGCCGATCACCACTGGGACCACCTTGACTGGCTTGTATAATAATAATAATAATAATAATAATAATAATAATAATAATAATAATGGGTTGTTGTAGGTTTTTTCGAGCTATATGGCCATAGTCTAGAGGCATTTTCTCCTGACGTTTCACCTGCATCTATGGCAAGCATCTTCAGAGGTAGTGAGGTCTGTTGGAAGTAGGAAAAAGGGTTTATATATCTGTGGAATGACCCCGGTGGGACAAAGGACTCTTGTCTGCTGGAGCTAGGTGTGAATGTTTCAACTGACCACCTTGATTAGCATTTAATGGCTGGAAGTGCCTGGGGCAATCTTTTGTTGAGAGGTGATTTGATGTGCCTAATTGTTTACTCTCTGTTGTTTTGCTGTTGTAATTTTTGAGTTTTTTAATACTGGTAGCCAGATTTTATAATACTAATAATAATTTATATTTTTAATAATAATAATAATTTATATCCCGCCACCATCTCCCCCCAGGGACTCAGGGCAGCTTACAAGGCACTCTGGGATGTACATATAACATTAGCAAGTGAGACCAGTTGACTTTCTCATATACCTTTAAAGCTGGAGTTTGCAGTGCAATGTTCCCCTAAGAGTCACATGTACCACCTAAAAAAGGACAGTCACTCCAAATTAATATTTCTATCCTGTAAGGGCTTCCTAGAATCTAAGCCAGAAATAGGAATTATTTGACTTGGAGCAGTGGAGTTTCACTTCCTGTTGCCCCAAGTGGCAGCTGCAGTTGTGGGTTGTGACCTTGCTTTAGAGAACCCTAAAGACCTAGCATGATCCACCCACTGGTTTCTGGAGCATGCCCCCTTGATCTTGGCCCATTATGACTTAAAAGCCCTTTCTTCCTCTTCTTTGTATGTGTGTGGGCTGTTGCTGACCCATCCCACTCAGCCCAGATGCATTGCCCTGCTAGATTTCTTTCACGGAGCAAGCAAAACTGTTGGCCTTCTTTAGCCTTCTCTCTTGGATAGACGATGAAGTAATTCCAGCCTGGTTTTACTTGAGCATCAGTAAAAAATGAGATCCTGGTCTAATCACTTAACCTACTGAAGCCTCTCTTTTGTGAGGTAGGGAATGGAAGTGACCCAGAGCGACCCATGCCATTTGCCAGACCCCTCAATAAATTCTCCTTGGATCCATGATACATCTCTCTGCTTGACCTGACCCTTCTTCCTTCCCTTGCAGCCTTCCTTCTGGCTTGTCAAAATTGTATTTTGCTCCAGACTAGCTATTCCATGGCTCCCCAGGTGACCCGCGATTTTGGCACCCTACTTGAACAAGAGGATTATTTCAATGATCTTTCTCAAGTACAGAAGGAAAAAGTCTCTTTCTAGGATCCTTTTCATTCTCATGTGTCAAAGCCACATTCCCCTCTTCCCCTTTCATTTCCTTTCTATTTGGCCACCCACCCTCAATGCCTGAACAAGAATGGGCCTCTCTCCCTCCCCCCTTTATTTATGGGAGCTTACTATGATGGATGCTTATTTTAGGTCAGGGGTCCTCAAACTTTTTAAACAGAGGGCCAGGTCACAGTCCCTTAAACTGTTGGAGGGTCGGATTATAATTTGAAAAAAAAATGAATGAATTCCTATGCACACTGCACATATCTTATTTGTAGTGCAAAAACTCTTAAAAACAATACAATCCACTATTTATTATTTGTCATGTCAGGGCAACCAGTCAATTATATTACATTTCTAACAGAACAAAGCAAACAAACAGACAAAATACAAAATTTGTGAGTTTGGTAGTTGATTAAATGTCCTTTGACCAGTATCTGGCCACTTGGAGTGCTTCTGGTGTTGCTGCAAGAAGGTCCTCCATTGTGCATGTGGCAGGGCTCAGGTTGCATTGCAGCAGGTGGTCAGTGGTTTACTCCTCTCCACACTCGCATGTCGTGGATTCCACTTTGTAGCCCCATTTCTTGAGGTTGGCTCAACACTTTTTAATCTGCCCTTGTGCTATGCTACTCTGCTGCTGAGTACGCATGCCCAGTGTGGAACACATCTCACCACACTAAAACAGTGGATGTGGCTCTTAATGAGACATGCCGCATTATCACATGGTGTCTGCGCCCTACACCACTGGAGAAATTACACTGCTTAGCCGGTATTGCACCACCTGACATCCGCCGGGAAGTAGCAGCCAATAGTGAAAGGACCAAGGCAGAGACATCTCCAGCTCATCCCCTGTTTGGGTATCAGCCAGCATGTCAACGACTTAAATCAAGAATAGTTTTCTAAGATCTACAGAGACACTCGCTGGAACACCTCAGCAAGCGAGAGTCCAAAAGTGGCAGGTTCAAACCCAGCACCTCAATCCGTGGGTGATACCAAATGAGAGACTCCCCCCTGGGCACACAGAAGACTGGGCAACTTGGAAGGCGCTGAACAGACTGCGCTCTGGCACCACGAGATGCAGAGCCAACCTCAAGATAATTAAAATGAAGAACAATTTTAACAAATATAAACTTAGTAGTATTTCAGTGGGAAGTGTGGTCCTGCTTTTGGCTGATGAGATAGGATTGTTGTTGTTGTTGTTGTTGTTATTTATTATTATTATTATTTAAAAGTTTTGTATACCGGCCTTCTCACCTCTCTTGAGGGACTCAGACCGGTTTCCAACCATAATATCACATACAATCAATAAAACATCATAATACATATTACAGTAAAACATTAAAACAGCAATTACAATCAATAACTATAATGGTCAGTCGTCACACTAAAATCGTTGCTCATCATCCTCCATCCATATCTCAGGGTGTTGGCTCACTCGTCGAATGCCTGTCTCCATAACCAAGTCTTCACCTGTTTCCTAAATGTCAGGATAGACGGGGCGGTTCTGATCTCCAGTGGGAGAGAGTTCCAGAGTCGAGGGGCCACCACCGAGAAGGCCCTGTCCCTTGTCCCCACCAGACGTGCTTGCGAGGCCGGTGGGACCGAGAGCAAGGCCTCTCCAGATGATTTTAATAATCTTGATGGTTCATAGGGGAGAATACGTTTGGAGAGGTAAACAGGGCCGGAGTCGTTTAGGGCTACATTATATTATCTTACATTATATCATAATGTAATCTGGATTATATAACAGTAGACCCAGCTCTAAAAATTCCTAGAGAGAACAATGCTAGTTATTTGTAGGTTCTTCAGTGAGATTCCATGTTCAACTTTAGGTGGAATTTAACCATAGAATCATGCCAGAAAATCTAGAGATTCCTAAAGAGGGCTCTGTTTGGTAATATAGTATTTTCATTTTCATGGGGGTCCTGTGCCCCTAACCCAACCAAATGTAGAAGGCTGCTTGTACTTCACTGGAGCCATTATGTCATTTTAAACCACAACAGCTGCCAGGGCTTAGGTTGCATTAACGTCAATTTTATTTTATGCTACTCTGCTGCTGAGTATACATGCCCAGTGTGGAACACATCTCACCACACTAAAACACTGGATGTGGCTCTTAATGAGACATGACGCATTATCACGGGGTGTCTGCGCCCTACAAAACTGGAGAAATTACACTGTCTAGCTGGTATTGCACCACCTGACATCCGCCGGGAAGTAGGAACCAATAGTGAAAGGACCAAGGCAGTGACATC